AGGGGAGAGAGGAGGGGGGGGGGAAGAGAGGGATATAAGGGGAATTCATCACCTAATTGATATCTAATTCAAGTTCATTTTAATTGTAAAATAATAACAACTCTAAAATCTCTGGATTATTAACTTAATATGTATAAAGACATCAGTTCACTAATCTAGGACTAGGAGATAATATATTTTTATTATGTTTTGAATAGAATTTGATTTTATTATTCCAGGTTTGGTTTCAAAACAGACGAGCAAAGTGGAGAAAACGGGAGAAAGCGATGGGACGTGATTCTCCAAACTTTCTTCCTCCCGGAGCGGATTCCTCTCCACCGGAGCAATCCAACCTGTTCACCGGAGCCCTGGGACAACCCTTGACTCCGATATCTTTACCCTGGAGAGCTGGACACCCGCTCTTTCCTCCATTCTTCCCTCACTATCTTCTCCCCTCATCTCTTCACTTTCTCAACTCTCAGAAACATTTCCCAGGGCTCTTCTCTCCTCCCGTCCTATCTTCTCCTCTAGTTCCAACCCCACCTCCAGTCTCTCCTCCGTCTAATCTAGATCAACACAGATCAGCTCCGTCCTCCCCCACTCCTCCGTCCTCATCTCCACCTCAACTAAAACCTCAAGATTTATCAAAACCTTCGGATACCTTCGCTCAATCTAGAGAATCCTCTCCACTTAGTCACTCTTCTCATTCTCCTTCTCATTCGTCCCATTCTCCGCATCCTACAATTCTTAACATTCCGTTCAGATAATAATTAACAGAGATCTTTCATCCTGCCTAACCCAGTGTGTTTATTGTACCCGGATTCATCCAACCCGTCCCATCTACCGTAGAGACCGGAGAAACTAACCTCAACCTTTTCTTCATATAGATGTTATTAGTTGTAATTCCGCACAGTATACAAATTTATCTATTATATGTGGCACTTTCAGTGTTTTTCAGACGCATATTTATGATGAATATTGTTAAGAAAAATTTAAAATTATTTCTATTTTTTTTTCATCTAAGAAAATATTAAAATTATATTGTGTGTGTGAATAAATTGTTTTAAAAAATGTTATGAGTCAAAAATTAAAGGAAGCATCATCAGCATTATAAAATACATTTTTGATGCAAATTGAGTCTTCGCCTCAAACTCAAATTTTCTAATCCCTATATCTTTGCAACTTAACGATGTAAACTTTTGACATTTGCCACAAACTCAATGTTTATAATCTCTATATCTTTGGAACTTGATGGTGTAAACCTTTGATATTTCCAACTCTGATTATATGATCTAACAGAATTCATAGTTTGAAATATCTAAGGTGTACGAAATTGGATTGCAAAGAAATAAAGATTAGAAAATCTGAATTTATGATTAAGACTCAATTCCTTTAGATTATTATATCTAACAGAATTCATAGTTTGAAATACCTAAGGTCTGCGACGTTGGGTTGCAAAGATAAAGGGATTAGAAAATCAGAGTTTGTGGTATATTTGCACTTCCCATTCTCTGGTTACACTTGCCATAATTACAATTAATTATAGTTACAATTAACATAACATTACTCAATATAGTATATATTTATTTTTTATTAAACAACTACAATTATAACTTTTGGGACTACAATTAAAAATCTAATTCAGGCAGATGAGGAATAAGGTAAAGGAACTGCTCTTTTTGATAAGTATTGTATTGTCAATGACTCTTAAAGGGAGTGTTCGCTAAAAATGAAAGGGGGTATAGGCTTAATGCGATAAAAAAGCGCTTTGGATCGCTACTAATCTTACTTCTATCTGATGCGTCTATAAGGAGAAAATTGTTAAAGACGTCTCATACCGAATAACATGGCGTCCATACAAATTGAGAAAATTGCAACATACGACTTAGACCGTAAAAAAATCAATTTAATTTCAAATAAATCATTCAGATATTACAACCTATAGTCATCGATTATCTTTCGCCACATTTATATATAGTTGATTTTTCATAATATGTTTTAATTGTTATGATCTGAAAGTTACTTATAAAAGCATTTATTCCTGTTTCGAGGACTTTTGGTAATGAAGACGACATTTTCATATTTTCCAGGAATGTTTGAAAAGAAGTTGTAAGCTAAATATTATATTAAAAAACAAAATCAAAACTAGTATGAAATATCAAATATATACACATGTGGCGAAAGATAATCGATGACTATAGGTTGTAATATCTGAATGATTTGTTTGATATTAATTTGATTTTTTTACGGTCTAAGTCTTATGTTCCAACAGATAGAAGTAAGATTAGTAGCGATCAAAAGCGCTTTTTTATCGCATTTAGTCTATACCCCCTTTAATTTTTCGCGAACACTCCCTTTAGACAAAGTCTTTCTTCCAGTATTAGAGTTCAATATGTTCATTTCTAGCTCTCCCGGCAGCATTGTTAGAAAACTAAAGTTGGACATTTTCATGAAAACATTTAGCGCATTTATTCAAAAAAATGTTATAGATTTATGTATATCTTTGTAAGGGTTAGAATTATGGTTAAAGTAGCTATGGCAAGTGTAACTTATGGCAAGTAATACTTATGGCAAAAGTATTTATGGAAACCCATAGTTACTATGGCAAGTCCAACTATGGCAAATGTATTTATTGCAAACGTAGAATAGCAAATGTAACTGTAAAGTAAAAATAAAAAATTATTTATTTATGAAATATAACAAAAACATACAAAATTAAGTGTTTCAGGAGAAAATATTTAAAAATCTCTAAAAGTAGAGGTTGTGGGAATATTTCCCCCCAATTCTAAAAAACATAAAAATATAAATGAAAGAAAATGAAAGAAAAGGATAAGGAAAGTTACATATTTATTGTTTACTCTATATTTAATATAAATTAGTGGTGGATTGTTAGTATTTTTCGACGATGAACTAACAACTTTTAGAAATAAAAATGATAGATGTATTTGTAAAGTTAAAAAACAATTGAGCCAAAAATTAGTTAATGAAATTTTCTTTTCTGGGTTTGACCGTAAACCCTCTCTATCTTTATATCTAAATATTCTAATTTTAAGTAAGACGACAAACACTCTTCATTGGAAGACGACATCTTTAAAATACTGAGAAGTTTGTAAGTAAATTGAAAAATTGAATCATCTAATACTTAAAAAGTGTTCAGAAGTGGTGCAAACGGTTAGTGAGATTGATTGCCGACGACCAAAGTATAAATTATGACTGATATAAAATTCTTATTATGTATTAACATGCAATTATGAATATCTAAGAATGAAGATATTAATTAACTACTTAATTACGAAATAAGCAAGCTATGTATTCCCAAATAAATTAAACCAATAGACAACTATTTTAACCAAAATTTTTAAAAAGACACTTCCACTTTCTAAAATCATCTCTAAATCGTCTTCATTATCCTCCTGTCGTCTTCCAAATTCCGTCTGAAATTTACAACGAACAACATTAAATACTTAATTTAGAATTCCATGATTGTTAAGAACTTCATAACTTCTTATAAGCTACAACGTTTATATTTTTAAAAACTATTTACTCTAGATCTTCATGGGAAACCTTTGAGTCGTAAAATGTATTTTTTTTAATTAGGTGAAAGATATTCTAAATATCAAAATTCGGGTAATCTCATATCAGTATTTAAAGAGACTGTAAAGGAAAAATGAAGGGAGGTATAGGATGGAACCTGAGAATCTCAGGCGTTAAACGATACATTTAAGACATCTATCTGATTGTCCTGTCTCGAGAAATTGATTTAAAACTGTGACAAAATTATACCAAAATTCATATATATGCAATTTTAAAAAATAGTAGGTTTAAACAGATCATATTCAGCAAATACGCAACCAATCTGAAAACGATTATATCCAACAGGAGCCTGAGAATCTCAGGTTTGCTCCTTTTATAATTTTTTAATTTTTATTTTGCCTTTTGAACAGATATAATTGATAATATTATTACGTATAGTTCGTGTAGTCTGTATTACGTCACCAGAACTTCAGCCAATAGCAGTGCAGTATCATAGGCACGTGATACAGACGGAAATCATGTGACCATCTACATACAGTGTACAATTGCTGTATTTCATGTTCATTGTATATACGATCCATTCCAAACTTGAATATAGCTGTCACTCACTTTTTTCACAATTTTATGGGTCTCACTCTTTCAATTCTTTCAGTGATCGGACAAACCATATATATATACAGGGTGTCCCAATAAACATGGGAATTTGCAGTGACGAATTAGATATCGTCTTTTCAAATAATTCTCTGATTTAGTATAGTGATGCCTACTGAGAAAGCTGTAATCTGTAAGAGTTTCGTCTGCTTAGTTCACATTTTGTTTGTTTATGTTTTGACTGCATATGGTTGTACTTAGTAAAACAAGAAAATTACAGTATACAAACAGAGTAAACTTGTCCGTCTTCACTGTTCATCTTGCGTAGACATTATAGACACATCTTTACAGTCTTTTACCCTTTTTCATAAAATAAACTCTAGCAGACATAACAATGTTATGGCTTTTGAAATTAGGTATTACAATGCTAATTCATAACGAAGACGATATCGAGTTCGTCACTGAATTCCCATGTTTTTGGGACACCCTGTATATAATGTGAGAAAATATTAAAAGTTGTTGAGAACAGAAATTAGTTTAAATTGTCTACAGGGTGTCCCAATAAACATGGGAATTCAGTGACGAATTCGATATCGTCTTTTTTTAATAATTCTTTGATTTAGTATAGTGATACCTACTCATTAAGCTGTAATCTGTGAGAGTTTCGTCTGCTATGGTCACATTTTGTTTGTTTATGTTTTGACTGCATACGGTTGTACTTAGTAAAACAAGAAAATTGCAGAGTAAACTTGTCCGTGTTCACTGTTCATTATGCGGAGACATTATAAACACATCTTCACAGTCTTTTACCCTTTTCATAAAATAAACTCTAGCAGACATAATAATAGTATGGCTTTTGAAATTAGATATTACAATGCAGATTCACAACAAAGACTAGCTAGACGATATCGAATTCGTCACTGAATTCCCATGTTTTTCGGGACACCCTGTACCATATAAATATTATCTTTAGAAATATCCTTGTGTGTCTTGTCTTCTGCCCAACTTTATCGTGTCAAAATTAAATCTGATGAACTTGGATTAAAATGTTAACATTTATTCTAAAATAAATTCTTAATATTTGTTACATATAAATATGAAAAACATGAATACTTTATATTACCCGGGGGGGGGGGGGGTTACACAGCTATTCTACAGCTGTAGTAGGGTAAAAAGGGAAATAACAATATATATTTTTGATAAAGTTTTGGCAACAGAGTGCATTGTAATTTTACAGTGATACGTAAAATAATGTGGAAGATAACGCCGACTAAAAGACCAAAAACATTGGTATGATATAGTTACAAAATGTAATAAGTTAGTGCTTTAAAACAGCATTGAAATAGGTTTTAAATTGATTTGAGGTCGTTGTTCTTTTCCTTTTATTTTGGCAACCACTGTATAACTTGACAAGGATGGGATCACAGTAGTAAGTACAGACTTTAGAAATCCAGGTATTGATTTGTGTATAACGAAGAGTATAAAACTATTCAGAGCTTCCATAATATTTGGAGAACAGAGAGTATAAAACTGTTCAAAGTGAATATCCCGCCAAGCTTGAACAGAGAGTATAAAATTACTCATAGCTTTGAGCATGTTTCAAACGAAAAACATAGTTTCAAAATACCCAAAGTTCTCAACATGTTTTGATGAAAAACAGAGAGTAAAAATCTTATCTGATTTTCCAGTAATGTTCGAATTGGAACATAAATTCTCTTATCTAAATCTTTTGAAAAATTGAATCAGAGGTCTAAACTTGTGTGTGAAATGTCGCTAATCTTGATCTCGATATCCACTATGACAACCTTGATACCTTTATTTTAGTTTTCTCTACAAGGACGATCACCAATAATAATTTATTTAATCCGTAGATTTACATTAGATGGAGATCAATCCGTAGATCTACATTAGATGGAGATCAATCCGTAGATCTACATTAGATGGAGATCAATCCGTAGATCTACATTAGATGGAGATCAATCCGTAGATCTACTTTAGATGGAGATCAATTCTTAACCGTGAATATTCACAGCACAATAGTTCTAAACTCTGAAAAAGAAGTTATTTACTCAAGTTTAACTATTGAATACACTGCACAGTGTGAAACTCAAGGTAAAAGTTTTAAAAGTCTGATTACATCACGTTCTACAGAAAAAAAAAATTAAATAGCTCAAAATCATTTTTAAAAACCGAGCTGAGTATATCTACAATCTACATGCAAGCAATTTAAACATTTATGAATCACAATTTTTAACTTGTATAAACATTACATTCAATTTAACAAATATAAAAAATGTCACGTAAAACACTCGATGTTATTCTGGGACAGTCGTCACTTAGAATTTTTACAACAAAAATGCAGAGAATAATTATTTAACTCATTTTTGTTCATAGCTGCCTCAAGGGCAGTTTTAAATGCAAGTATGTATAATACACTGTTAACTTGTACATTATTTCTTTTTTGTATAAATAAAAGCCAATTTATAGAAATTTATTAACAAACAATCCCTTTTTCTACTTTCCTTTAATTTTTCGTTTTTTTACACACACTTATTAAGAAATGCTAAATGTGTTCTTTGACCTTTGGATTGATGGCTCAAGGTTTTTTTATTTTGTCTTGTATAGCATTAAAAAAATATTTTAAATTAAGATCTCACAACACCCCTCGGGGAAGGGAGACAATTCATAAACCCCAGTTAAATTATGATTATATTGCTTCTTATAGATTTCCCCGCTAATTGTAGTTTTTCCTAATAAGATTTTTTAAAAATAAAAATAAAATCGAAATTCCTATAATGAAGCTGAAAAAATATGGGAAACGTCAATTAAAACAATGTATATCTCCAGAATGATGTGATGATACCATATGGCTTTATATCATAGAGATACTGATATAGCTTAGTTGATATGAATGACTGAATGATATGAATGTAATTTAATTTGCTTTATACAATTAAATATCGATTCAGAAAAAAGTTTGTAGATGTGAATGTGAAACAATTAAATCATGTAAACAAGAAGAAAAAATGATTATGGGTTTATGAAATTGGTAGACCAGTACCGGCTTTCAAATAATTCAAATTTTTACAATAATATAAAGATGACATTCTTTAACACCCTGTGTTTAATTGTACACTGTATAGAACTTAAACTAGCAATAAAATCTAGCTAACTAGGTTTACAGTTTTTGTCTCACAAAATACTCAATATCAGACCAAGATCCTATCAATAAGAACGAACCATGTATGTTAAGGTAGGGTTGAAGCTGAATCCACCTTGGTTTGTCAAGACGGAGCAGGATCCAGAATTCGCTCTGGGGTTAAAGGATTAGACGGGACCGGAGACGGTATTTTCTCCGGGATTGGAGACGTTGCTAAAACTGGATCAAGAACCTTCTCAGGGTTGGGAGACACCACGTCTCTGGGTTCACTTTTCAACGAATTGGACTCCGGGTTGTTAATATCAGATGTAATCGTTGAGGCAGGGGAGGCTGGTGAGGTTGGACAGGTCGGAGAAGGTGAGGACGGTTCAGTTTCTCTTCTTTCCCTGGCAGCTCTCAGCTTATTAATCTTCTCTCCTCGTGAGTTTAGTTTTCTCTCCGCTTCCTGTTCCTCAGCCAGCTTCTTCTTCCAGTATTCATAGTTCTCCTCTATATTCTCCATCAGCTCACTGCTGTTAATATACCCTGGAGAAAATGAAACCATGGTTATAGGGACTGTAAGCGTAATTTCAAGTGACCCTTCATGCAACACTGGCAATTCACCATTTACATTCTCTCAAATTTTGTTCGGATTTCTCTAATCCGGAGTGTACGGTCACGTAAGGTTTAAACTCAACTCTACTAACGTTACTTCCGGTTCAATAGAAACATGCTAAATATTTTACGTCCAAACCGGTTTTAAAGGTTCAAAAGTAAATATTTAGTTTCTGCGACTTTTAGAAAGTACATGTTAATATTTCTTAAATATAAAACAGATTGCAAACACACTGTTCAAGAATTAAAAGCGTTTCTGTAGAGTAAATAATGAAAAAGGTCCGGATCATTCTTAATTAGTCCAAGGTTTAGAGGGTACTGGTGTGCATCGAGGATTCCCCTGTTTAAATAAAAGGTCACTTGAAATTACGCTACAGTCCATTTAATGTTTAGAAATTTATTCATCAACATCTATCTATCTATTCTTCGTTATTCATCTTCTTTCTGTTAACCTATACTATACTATTGATCTATCTATTGATCTATCTATTGATCTATCTATTGATCTATTGATTTATCTATTGATCTATTGATCTATCTATTTATCGATCTTTTGATCTATCAATCTATTGATCTATTAATCTGTCAATCTATCGATATATCGATATATCGATCATTGGTCTATCGGTCTATCGGTCTATCGATCTATCGATTTATCGATCTATTGATCTATCGATCTAAATATCTGTTTATATATTGATCTTTCTATCAATCTATCAATCTATCTATTTATCTATATCACCTGCCCAGGCGTCGAACATAGAAAGAATAAAGTAATCGTAGAATCCTATTTGTGATTGTGGTATAGAACATGTGGTTCTATCAAACTGAGGCATAACTACAGGTAAACCCATACTCTTCTCCTCAGCAGTCTAATTTAAACATTTGTTGGACATTTTTATTTTTATTTGTTTTTTATTTATTTTAGCAAAAGTGTAATAAGACAAAGGTTTTTAACTGTTTAAGAATTTTTGAATAACATTTCAAATAGCAAAACATAATGGATCACATAAAAAATAAACAAAAACCGTTTTTTTTTAAGATTAAAGTTTTAAAGATGTGAAGTGTTTTTGATTGAAGTTTTTAAAGGTTGCAGTTTTTTTAGGATTGAAGATTTAAAGATTGAAGTTTTTTAGACTGAAGATTTTAAAGATTGCAGTTTTTTAGGATTGAAGTTTTAAGATTGAAGTTTGTAAAGATTAAAGTTTTTAAATTTGAAAGTTTTGAAATATTGAAGTTGATTGATCATGAAATTGTAAAGATCAAAGTTTTTAAAGAATGAAGTTTGTAAAGATTAAAGTTTTAAAAGAATAATGTTTTTAAAGATTAAAGTTTTAAAAGATTAAAGTTTTAAAAGATTAAAGTTTTCAAATGTCGCATTTTTTTGAAATTTACCTGTGTAAAATATTCCTCTGCTATCCTGACAGCCCATTCTTTACAAAGGTTGAGGGTTCGAGCAGGATTAGATACATCTGCACACTTGATCAACATCCGTCTGATTATACCCTTCTCCTCTACCTAAACAGATATATTCTTATTAGAATATTCTGCAACTATCAGGGATATATTTTTATTAGAATATTATCCAACTATCAGGGATATATATTATTATTAGAATATTATCCAACTATCAGGGATATATATTATTATTAGAATATTATCCAACTATCAGGGATATATTTCTATTAGAATATTCCTAGACTATCAGGGATATTTTTTATTAGAATATTCCTAGACTATCAGGGATATATTTTCATTAGAATATTCCTAGACTATCAAGGATATATTTTTATTAGAATATTCCTAGACTATCAGGGATATATTTTCTCCAACTACAAACTGTAGTCATTCTTTATGCACTAAGCCAGTTTTTAGAAATTATAAAAGTCAACGTCATGGATTTATTTATATTTGCTCACAACTACCAAATTATGAATACAAAATCTTAGGTTCCTTTCACCTATGGTTATTGTATCATGGCCTCCTAAAGTTTCGGCCTCGAGGCATTTTTCAGCCCGACCTTGCATGCTTTAACTGGCAATAACCTTTTTGTTATTTAAGATTTCAAGCTAATTTAAACGCCATTATTTACTAGTTAATATACAAACTAGATAAAAAGAAATTTTATGGGATTTATTTCACTTATATTGCATATACTTAGAAACTTTTTTTTTTATATTTTTTATCGCAATTTTTTCGGTAAGTGTACCCTCCAATTTTTGCAAACAAATTTTAAATATTCCCTGTAATGTATTTACGATCATGGAAAGTTTAATTTTTCAATTTTACTTGCTGTTGGAGGTAGAGCTTTTTAGCTTTAATTTTAGATGAAACTAAACAAAGACGACTTTTCTAACAAGAAAGACGACTGTAGTAGTGTGGGACTATCTTGATGAAGAACGACCCTATCAGGGATTTTTTAAGCATGGAAAGGTTGCTAAGAAATTTAACGCTTGTCTCAAAATCAAATTTTCTAAACTTTGAACAATTTTAAAGAAAAATGTTAAGTTTATATTAAATATGTAATTAAAAAGAAATTGCGTAGCTTTAGTAAAATTAAGTTTTTTACTCTTTATTAGACTTTAGTTACATTCTAAGTAATCAGTAAAATATGTGTATTACGTTTTTTTAATGACAAATTAAATCCTAAGTGTCCTGTGAAGTTTGGAAATATCTAATAGTAATCAGAAAATGTAAAATAATTATTAACTGCTTTTTTATTCTTTAACTAGCTGAAGTGCCCGGCGTTGCCCGTGGAATTAAAAAATTCGAATTTTGAAAAATAGTCTTTTTAACCCCCGGGGTACCCATGGTTTCATTAAATAATGTCGGTCGATTCGGTCCAGCTGTTTGGCCGTCTATAGCTAACATTTATACATACATAAGTGTTTTTATTTTGTTGTTGATTTTCAGAAAGTTACTATTTTTAACAATAACAAGTTACAAAACCTAATTACGACATTAATTTGTTAAAAGCAAAAACAAAAAAGGCAATTAATCCACTTTTTTTTCTGGTTACAACTGAATGTATTTTGATTTTTATTAATTCTGAGAAACAGATAAAAACATAATTAATATATATCTGTTTCGCGGTTCTAACGAAAACCATGAGCATAGCGGATATTTTTATACCACATTTTTTTTGATGAAATTAAAGAATGTGCGATGAAGTCTGAAATTACTTAGCTCTGGTAATTTCTATTCATTACTTTTCTGAAAAATAAACTTTTTTTATTTGAATGTCCGATATAGTCCAACAATGCTTAGAAATAACTAATTTCGTTTTTGATTTATTATTTACCTCACTCAATGCCTTTTTTGGTGGTCCCTTCTCCTCAATGTCCCTGCTACAGATGGCTGTTGTGAACTTGTTGACGTGGATGAAGTGCTTGGACATGTCGGTGGCGAGGACGGTGTCGATAAGTCCCTTTCGCACCGTCTTGTACGTGTCACTGTCAAGATTCTAAAAAATAAATGATTTTATCTTTTTCTCGTTTTTTTCATTGATTTCTAAGCTCTTAACTAAACATAAGTATTAAACAGTTCGGTCCTTATCCCTGCAAGCTGTGACCATAGATAAAGATAGATTGCGCATAAGACGACATTTTTCATCTTGAAAAATGTACAGAGATGTTTTAAAGATATTCCTGTTATATAGATTAACTAGGTCGGTTGTGAAAATTTGCTGTTCTTATGTCATTGAGTACTTGTGGTGTACATGAGTTCTGTAGAGAGAAATTTAAGTTTGTTTAGTCCTTCTCATGTCCTCCTTCAGTTCTCGTCAATATGATATTCTCAAAATAAAATTCACTCCTGAGTGGTTTAATATTAATGAAATCCATTGAAACACCAAACCACCCCGCTTATCATTGAAGTACGCGTTGACCCCTGAAGTATGAGTTCGCGGACTGTACAATTCTTGGTGATTTTGCGTACATAAGCTATCTATGTTTATTTATTTATCTATGGCAGTGACTTCCGATCAAAGTTATAATTATTGAAAAAGTATAAAAAGACAACTTTAAAAACGTTTGAGTTATAGATTGAATTCAAATTGAAGAAACTAAATGCTTCCCGCCCTGGTTAGTCTAGGCACTGCAAAACGCCAGTTCATTTTAAGTACCGGGCAGACTTTAAAGTAGCTAGAGCTAGCTGCACAGTACACATACAGACTATTCAAGGCAAAACTGGACAGTACACCAAATTATTCTTCCCCTAGCTTCTAGTAAAATTTATGAAACGTACCTGAAAAATGTTAACAGATTCATGTGAGATTGTTAGTTTGTATCCTAGTGCACAATGATGGTTTTCAAGTACAGTTGTATCATTGTACAGTACTGCCAACTGGCTGCCAGAGTTTATGAGGTAGGCACTGTTACGACCTGAAAGTGTACATAAGGGAATTGATTTCTAGGCACATACTCTAATTTTCTAATTCTTGTATATTTTCAACCTGAAAGTGTAAACCGTTGAAATTTTAAAATGTGAAATGTTATTAGGTGACTTTATCGCCCTACAACAGGGCAAAATAGTGTCTTTATCTCCCTGCTTTTGAAATTTAAAATTTCAAACTTAATATTTCCCGTTGTTGGGTGATTAAAAAAATCCCGGCAAAACCTTTTTCGCTCTTAATAATACCCCCTACAATGACATAAATAGATATAAAGTTTAAAGTTCAATAGAATTCACTATAAGAAATTTTGAGTTTGTGCGAGTCATCAGTTATTTAAAATATTCTTAATTTTCAGTTGTTGCTCCAACTGTTTGTTTTTACAGTGTGTTTATTTTTTGTGTTTTTTCCAGAGCAGTATCTGGATCTAAACTTAGAATAGATAGGTATAGCAGTATCTGGATTCAAATTTAGAATAGATACACTAATAGATAAATAGAAAGATATATATTAAGGGTGTGACATTTTTCTGAAACAATTTTACAGAAGCAAAAAAGTATTTTACTATGAATACTAAGACATGTTTCACTACTGATTTTTTTGTTGTACAAACTTTGTCATTAAAACCCATTTGAGGGGTCCATTTTTGAATTTTGTGAAAGATGTATATTATAAACATGCTTTAGAATTTCAAGTGGAATACTATTTTCCTTCTCTAAAATGGTTTCAGAAAAATGTCTCACCCCTAATATGTATAGATGAAAATATAAGATTAGAAAGGACATTTCTTAGACAATTTTAAAAGATTAAGTAAATTATTTTCTGTTTCTTGATCTTTCGTGATATGTCAAATTATTTTACGATAAACTAACAGATTTGTCCTTTTCCATGAATTGTCTTATATATAGAATGTCCTATCAAGGCGATGTCTTATCTATGAAATGCCTTTATCCATGCAATGTTTTACTGTAAAAATACTGATGTAGCTAAGATATATAGAAAATAACAAAAACATAGGAAAAGAAAAAAAATTTAAAAATAGGAAAAATTCAATTTGAGTTTGTAAATATTATACATACATATTATTATTTTTCTGAGAGCAAAATTTTTATCCTTGATAAACTTGATATCCTCAGTGTACACTTTTACAATAAGAAGGAAATTGAGTCTTTACCTTAGACCTATATCTTTGCAACCCAATGTCGTAGACCTTTTTAAACTATAAACTCTGTTAGATATAATAATTTATGCTTGAAATATCAAAGGTTTTAATCATCAGGTTGCAAAGAAATAGGAATTGGAAAATTTGAGTTTGTGACAAAGACTCACTTGATCTCCACGAGGAGTTGAATTTAAGCGAAATTTAGAATGACTTATATTAAACCGTCGATAAAAAAAACATTTGCAGGCTTAAGACACAGATTTAAGATAATGTGAAAATTTGAAAATCTTTCTAGGGTTAAGTTTAGTGTGATATATTTGTATACAAGTGTTTATCATGAAGTATATTATATCTGACTTTTGTTTTCTATTCCAATTATTTTTTAATTAGCTTGGTAATTAATTGTTGTTGTAATTAATTAGAAAGGATAAGTATTATGGTCAAAAGCAATGACAATATTTAAAAGATTGAAAAAACAAAGTCTACCCTAATTAAAGTTAAAAATGTAAGAAAAATGGAGATAATGAAAATAATAAAAAAATGATTATTTCTATGATATTTTTTTTAAATGCAAATGTTTTGTTGAATAAAGCGTTAAAATTCGTATGTTACAGATTATATAATAATATTGATTATGATGATAACAATAATAATAATAATAATATTAGGTTTTAAAGATATATTTTTTTTGTTCAACAAATAGTTAAAATTTATACGTTACTAATGATATAAATGGCGATGATAACATTAATAATAATAATATCTTAATAATATATTTGTAATAATAATAATTTACCCGGGTGATCAACATCATGGATGATTGCTCCGATGAGAATTATAAGTTCGTCAATAGGATCAAACATTTCCTAAATAAAAAACAAAATAATTTCTAAATGTATTTTAAACCTTTTTATATGTATTCACGTTTCTTTAAAACCCCTGTCTTCTGTTTTATGAGTAACAATGTAACTAGAATGAATAATGAAAAGGGTTTAAATCAGAAAATTATGCAATAACCTCATTATGATAATATTTTTGACGATTATGAGAAGAATGCAAATTTATTATTTCTTGAATCAAATATAAGGACAAAGGTAGCAAATAAAGAGAATCAACGCAAACTATGTTTATCAAACTAACTCTCTACACCAATACTTATTTAATATGTTGTTTCAAGAAGGTCTGTTAAATTATTAAAGAGAAAGACGTTTTGTAAACTACAGTACATAGATATAAATAGTACCCACGATTTTATCAATGTACTAAAGTACCTATAATCTAGACTGATATAAACATCAGTACAAAGTTATGAATAGAAGCATGGTATGTGACGTGACAATGTACTGTGTATCTATAATCTAGATTGTTCAAAAAAGAATGCTAGAAACAGCAAAACAAAGCTATAAAAAGTAAAACGATTTTAACTATGTACTTTGATACCAGTATTCTAGACTGTTTTAAAAGAAAGCACAGCCTGTAATACTTAGTACAAATGCACTGTATTGTTCCAAACTTCGATACTTAGCTAAAAATTAAACAAAAAGATACCATAAACAACAATTATCTTTGTTTACATAGAAAGTGTACTGCAGTTTCTGAGAGGATTATAAGCAAACTCTGTACTAACTAGAGTGAAATGAGGGAGAGCGGGCCATGAGCCCAGCAATATCTTGTTCAAACCCAGGAGCAGGACCCTGCCCGAACCCCGCAGAATCATTTTCGAGCCCAGCAAAAAAACTGTTTAAACAAAACTTTAAAAAAAATCAAAAAAGGGAAAAGGTGCGGGAATAGGTTACATATAAAATATAAAAATACTTTAGATGGAATGTTTGCAGTGATAAATAGGTGATATGGATATATAAAATATGGATATAAATGCAACTTATTATCTAGCATTCAAAACGTCAATTCATCAAAAATGTGTAGAAATTACATACCTATGATATTTATGAATTATAAATTAATTATAAATATCATAATCCTTCTCCTAAAAACTGCAGTACACTTTTTATGCTAACAAAGACATGGATGTTCAAGGTGTATCTTTCTGGTTTAACTGGGGGAGTATTAACCATGTTGTATTGTACCTGTATTCTGGATTGTTCTAAAAAGAAAGCAGAAGCCTGTAGTACATCTGCAGCATGTGTAGAGTTATGATATGAGTTTGATGAATGATAGTTTGCTTCGATCATATTTAACCAGTTCTGCAGTATACTCTCCTCTATACCCAGGGTAGTGGTAACATCAAACCTCTGGAGTATATTCATACCAAGCCAGAGAAGAGGCCTAGAGCAATATCCACGTTACACTTTAATTAATCAATGTTATGTTTTTAAATATTTATTTTCTTAACCCTATCCCTGCTGGGGTACTAGAAAACCAGGATACGCCTGGGGGGGGGGGTCAATTTGACATCCCTCTTGACCAAAATAATATAACTCTTTTTACATACAGTATGTGACCTCTTTTATCATTATAATATTTGCCTCCTTTTCAAACGAAATTTGACCTGCATTAACATACGGTCTCATACCTTCTTTACCACTAAATTTTACCGCTTTTAACATACGGTCTGATACCTTCTTTACTGCTAAATTTGACCTCCTTTAACATACGGCCTGATACCTTCTTAACCACTAAATTTTACCTCTTTTAATAAACGGTTTGATACTTTCTTTACCGCTAAATTTTACCTCTTTTAACATACGGTTTGATACCTTCTTTACCGCTAAATTTTACCTCTTTTAACATACAGTCTGATACCTTCTTTACCACTAAATCTTACCTTTTTAACAAATGGTCTGATACCTTCTTTACCGCTAAATTTTACCTCCTTTGAAAAACGGTCTGATACCTTCGTTACCGCTAAATTTTACCTCCTTTGAAAAACGGTCTGATACCTTCTTTACCGCTAAATTTTACCTCCTTTAACATACGGTCTGATACCTTCTTTACCGCTAAATTTGACCTCCTTTAAAATACGGTCTGATACCTTCTTTACCGCTAAATTTGACCTCCTTTAAAATACGGTCTGATACCTTCTTTACCGCTAAATTTGACCTCTTTTAACATACTCTGTGGCCACCCTTTACTGTGAGCTATACGCGCATTAAGATACAGAATGTGACCTTATTTACATGCAGTATATGATACCCTTAAAACATGAAAACTGACCTCTTTTAACACGAAATTTGACCTCCTATACCTGCGTTCTGTGACCTCCTCTAGTTTGAAAATATCGAATCCCCAATCTATCGCAGTGTTAAAGAGTTCTCCAATCTGTACAGGCGTAACCTCAAGAGTGGGAAGGGAGGGTCGAGGAGAAAAACTATAAAAAATAGAAGTTTAAAATTTTTTTTTTTGACATGAAGTGCGTCAGAGCCTGTATTTTACGCAGGGTAAAGGATAAAACTTTCAGATAAAAACAAATCTATAAATACTGTAAAGGAACTGAGTTTTTGCCACACACCCAAATTTTCTATAACAACTGCAACCGGATAGTGTAAACCTTTAATATTTAAAACTTGGATTATTTGATCTAACTTAATTCATAGTTTGAATGAAATATCAAAGGCCTACGACATTGGGTTGAATATATATAGGGATTAGAAAATTAGAGTTTGCGGCAAACACTCAATTCCTTTAAAATATGATTTATTTGACTAATTATAGCTAATAAAAATCTGACCTGTCACTCTTTCTTAAAATTCTAGTACAAACTTTTATAAAGGAATTGAGTTTATGCCTCAAACTCTGATTTTCTAATCCCTAAATCTTAACAACGGCCGATTGATATTTTGAACTATAAATTCTGGTAGATTAAGTATTGCAAGTTGACATATGAAAGGTTTACACAATCAGGTAGATGGTCGTTGGAAGCTCTGTTCCTCAAAGCCCCCAGCCTTCCAATCTTGGAGTATACAACATGATTTACCTCACGATCTTATCAATGGAGGTTCGTCTAAGCTGGTGTTTCGGAACTTCAACTCTTGGATTCTAAAATACACATATGTTCTTCAAATGAATTATATTTTTTTTATAAGCACCTTACAAGCTTTTCCGGGAAAAAAAGAAAACGAAATCCTTAAATTTAAAGTAATTATTTTTATTACTAAATTTTATACTTTTTATCTACCATACAATTCATTTTAAACCCCACATTAATGAAAAACACAAAAAATACAGATTTTAGAAACATTGTTTTTGCGATTTTTCCTCCTCAAACAAAATATATTTTTGTGGCACTTATTAAAGATTTAAAGGAATTTATTACTCGCCACAAACTGTAATTTTCTAATCCCTGTATCTTTGTAACCTGATAACATGTAAACCTTTGATATTTCAATCCTTGATTGTTTGCATAGACAGCATTTATAATTTAAAATTAAAAAGAACTACGACATACTATTGCAAAGATATGAGGATTAGAAAATAATGCTATTAGTTACTTCAACACTGGCTTTGGCAGCCGTAGTACATTTGAATTTCCGAGCCGGGTCAACCTTTCCGGTCCCAGTTTGTTTTGTATCGCCCGGACATTGGGTAAATAAAGCAGACACTCAATAGGACTAGCCGGTGCAACAAGGTTGACGCAGTCAGATTTTAGGTTTAATTTACTTTTTCTAAAGGTGCGTGTCAACAGCATTTTTCTAAATCTTATAGTTATCTTTGTTAGTTTGTTTCCAAGAAACTTTGAGACAGCTGATTTGCCATGAACACCGGTTGGGATTTTCGCCACGATTTTTTGTTTTAAAAAACATATTAAAAATAGTAAGAGCTAAATTTTCAATCTTCGAAAAATGGAAAAATAAAATAATTACTTGACATTATACATTGAAGAATAATCTCTTTGTAATGAATTATTGAGAAGAGAATGATTCTAGGATTTATTTCTATAATAAGTTAATCAGCATAATCTTTCCAGATATTCCTAGTCTTAATAATATTAATGAGATGAGACGAAATTACGAGAATATCAGAGAGAAAGGGATAGACTGGTTAGATTGAACTTAATCTGCAGTATTTTAGAGAAAAATGTTGGGCTACACTTTTTTTTACAAAAAATACGTTTAACGATGTATAATAATTAAAACGTAACAAAAATTCTTTTATAAAGAAAGGAATTGAGTCTTTATCACAAAATATCTTTGCAACCTGATGGTGTAAATTTTTGATATTCTAAACTATGAATCTGTTAGATCAAAAAAGTCTAAGATTAAAATATTAAAATTTTAAGCATCGGGTTGCAAAGATATAGGAATTAGAAAAGTTGAGTTTGTGGCAAAAACTCAATTCCTTTGTTGTTTAGGAACAAATCATCGAAAATATTTAATTCTTATTCAGTATCGGTTTCTGTAATGTTTAATTCTTCCCAAACGTTAAAGGAATTGAGTCTTTGCCACAAACTCTGCTTTTCTAAATCCTATATCTTTGGATTCCAATGTCGTAGACCTTAGATATTTCAAACTATGAATTCTGTTAGATCAAATAATATAAGTTTGAAATATCAAAGATTTACGAGATTGGATTCTAAAGATATAAGGATTATGAAATCAGAGTTTGTGGCAAAGACTCAATTCCTTTCCAAGAATTTTATTGCAAAGACGCCATCTGAAAAAAAATTTGAAGATATTTGCATACACATTTACAAAGACTTATAAATTATTGATTCTACCATTGATTTCATCACAAATTTCTTTAAAAATTGGTATCAAATTAACATTAAACATTTTTCTCTAACACTGCACTTTCAGTTCAACTACGCTACCTAGCCAGTCTCTCCCTTTAAGAAGATATATAGCAAAGACACAATTGCAACTTATTATCGGAGAAAGGTTAGGGTTCTGAAAAGAAAAGTCCTTTATTATTTATAGAAAAAAGACCCAACTCTCTCTGAGAGACTATAAAATTAAAGAAAAGGGTTTGAGAGAAAAACAACGAAAAATACACATTAAAAAAGGAGAAAAATACACATTATAAATAGGAGAAAAATACATATTCTAATTAAGTAAAAGAAACACATCATAAGTAAGAGAAAAATACACATTATTATAAATAGGAGAAAAATACACATTATAAATAGGAGAAAAATACACATTATAAATAGGAGAAAATACACATTATAAATAGGAGAAAAATACACATTATAAATAGGAGAAAATACACATTATTAATAGGAGAAAAATACACATTATAAATAGGAGAAAATACTATATGAATAGGAGAAAAATACACATTATAAATAGGAGAAAAAGACACATTATAAATAGGAGAACATACACATTATAAATAGGAGAAAAAGACACATTATAAATAGGAGAAAAATACACATTATAAATAGGAGAAAATACACATTACTAATAGGAGAAAAATACACATTATAGATAGGAGAAAATACTACATGAATAGGAGAAAAATACACACTCTAAATAGGAAAAAAATAGAAATAGAATTAAAGGGTTTGGAAAACAGAATTAAAGATTTTTAGAAGAGAATATTGTAATAAAAGGAAGGGTTTGGATAAAAGTAGCAACAAGATTTTTTGAGTGGAAGAATAAAATGAATCCCTTTAAAAGTTCCCTTTATCTAGTATTTATATCAAACGTTTACTACAGATATTTTATATAATCACTGTTGATGTAAACTTGACCTTTGTGGTGATATATATATACTTTCACAAGATATGCGTTTAACTTGTGCAAACTACTGCAGGCAGGGCTTGTATTTCCTCCAGGCAGATCTATTCAGTGTTTCTCTTATTCCTCGGAAAACTGTAGACAACTTTTTTTGTTTACGCTGTTGATTCATATTGGTTTAAACGAACTGAGCTAAAAACTTTAGAACTTTTATCTCGATCGGTTAGTTAATCTGGAGATTATTATCAAGAGAAGAACAAGCACTATTTAATCTAAAGATTAAGTAAAAGAGGAGATCAAGCAATGTTATCTAAAGTTTTCAGCTATGAGCTGAAAACTTTAGAAGTGTGGATTTCGAGATCAATACTTGATCTCCCCTTTCTATTTATTCTTAAGATTAAACTAATCTTACATTAATATGCAGGAAAGAATCTAAAATGCAACCAATCAGAGTGTCGATTGTAGAAACCGGATATCCAATCAGAAGCCGAGAAATTTTGATATTTTGCTTGTGATCAATGAGAGAACTCTCTTTGGTCGGATTACAGTAGGTATATCCAAAAGAGAAGTTTGAGAAGAAAATCAAAAGTGTCCACAATGGAATACAGTATCGAATACAAGAGTTTTCAACCCTGAACACTCACCTCAAACTCTAAATTTTAAATCCCTTTTAATCTCTTAGTATTTATGGTTATGACATCAGGATACACGATATAAGGATAAGAAAATTAGAGTTATTGCGTTGCAAACTAGATTGAAGGAGAAGGATACAGATATGCGACATTAGCTTGTGACTTTGTGACCTCGTAGCTCTTTTAGTTTTGGCTTAACGAACAAGTTCAAAAATAATATTTATCCAGTTAAATATTAGAACATTCGTGTTCCTCTGAATAACATTTTGATAAGAAGAGTTATAAGTGAAAACATGACAGATTTAAATCTTACGAGAAATTTATTTTAGTTTAACGCAGAGGCCTGTAAGCAGTTTTTTTTCTGTCTGGCCGTTTAAATTTTAAGTATTTTCTTTAATAAAGCAAATGGAAACTACACCTGAGGCCGAATTTAAAGAATTTGAGCCGCGACTTAAATTTGGGACGCGGCTCAAATATGGTTGGCTCCACTTAAAATTGTATTCAATGTTTAAAATTTAAGCCGGTGCTCAATTGAAACCGGTTTTGGGCGGATTTGAGACAAGGCTCAAATTCATTAAATTCGGACTCTGTGTTCTTTTTTAAATTTATAAATAAGAATTTTTACCGAAAGAATTAATCTCTCTGTATGAAAGAATTAATCTCTCTGTATGAAAGAATTAATCTCTCTGTATGAAAGAATTAATCTCCCTGTATGAAAGAAATATAAGCTTCTTGATCCTTTGTTACTGTAATTGGGATGTCAATTTTTAAATCTTATTGAAAATAGAAAATTTCAAATCAAGAATTAAAAATAAATAAAATATCCCTGTTTGACAAAGGTTTTTATATACATAATTAATGTCGTCTGTATCACTATGAACCATAGCGTATTTAAAAATATTGTATCGAATATCTTTTTCTTTTTTTTTTTAGCTACATCACGAGTCAGGGTCGTCTTTAACGATCGTTAAGGAAACGACGAATTTTATAAAAACGATCATGTTTTTAAAAACAAGCGTTTTGAAAAACGATCGTTTTAAAAACGACCATTTTTAAAAAACGAACTTTTAAAAAAAACGATCGTTTCGTTTTCGATTTTTCGTCGTCGTTTTCATAACGAAACGATCGTTTTTCTGAAAAATGAAAACGTTAACACCCCTACTTGAGACAAGAACATCATTCACGACACGTATCAATCACAAACAATATTGTAAAATACATGAAATTAAACATGATAAAGGCAACTTTTATGCAAACAAAATCAGTCGGTGTTTCGAGAAGATATAAATGTAAAAGCTGAGAATAACATTTTCCATAAAAAGTTTCCAGTTCTAAAAAGTAGAAATGAAAAAATTAGATTTGTCCAGAACCTCTTGTGAAACGCATCATCTCAGGACTTCACTGAGAAAGGGATTAGCCACAAATCCTGTAATGCGATTAACCCATTCCATGTTCGTAGATAGATATAACTTCGTCGTAACCATAAATGTCATTTAATGCCTTATAGATAGTAACCGCTCATAACCTGTAATTACGCTGTAAATAACCCAAATCTAATATGAACTACGAAATATAGATCAGTTGATTGAGACTCTGCTTTTAATTACATTATCAGAAGCCTACGTGAGCTTGAAACCATGCTTTGGTACTCGTTGAAACATTACGAGGGGAGAAATTGTCTGTGTAGCAATTTTAGTTGGACTGTGTGTCCTTTAGAACTGGGGAGTTAAGCCTGGTTGAGATTTGTACTGTATATTCTTTAGAACCAGGGAGTTAAGCCTGGTTGAAATTTGGACTGTGTGTCCTTTAGAACCAGGGAGTTAAGCCTGGTTGAGATTTGGACTGTGTGTCCTTTAGAACTGGTGAGTTAAGTCTGGTTGAGATTTGGACTGTGTGTCCTTTAGAACTGGGGAGTTAAGCCTGGTTGAGATTTGGACTGTGTGCCCTTTAGAACTGGGGAGTTAAGCCTGGTTGAGATTTGTACTGTGTATCCTTTAGAACTGGGGAGTTAAGCCTGGCTGAGATTTGTACTGTGTGTCCTTTAGAACTGGGGAGTTAAGCCTGGTTGAGATTTGGACTGTGTGTCCTTTAGAACTGGGGAGTTAAGCCTGGTTAAGATTTGGACTGTGTGACCTTTAGAACTGGGGAGTTAGTACTGGTTGATCTTGTTAACGATAAGACCTGGATAGCTAAGTCTCGAGTAAATTGTTATGGAGTAGACGTTTACTACTTTTGTTCAAAATTTTCCAGAACGAACGATTGATGGACACAAACAACAAACTATTGATTCACACAAACAACAAACTATTGATGCACACAAACAACAAACTATTGATGCACACAAACAAAAAACTATTGATGCACACAAACAACAAAGTATTGATGCACACAAACGCCAAACTATTGATGCACACAAACAACAAACTATTGATGCACACAAACGCCAAACTATTGATGCACATAAACAACAAGCTATTAATGCTCACCAACACCAAACTATTGATGTACAAAACCAAAAATTATTAATGCACACAAACACCAAATAATTGATGCAAACAACCAACAAACTATTGATGCACACAAACAACAATCTATTGATGCACACAAACACCAAACTATTGATGCACACAAACAACAAACTATTGATTCACACAAACAACAAACTATTGATGCACACAAACAACAAACTATTGATGCTTACAAACACCAAACTATTGATGTACAAAACCAAAAACTATTGATATACACAAAAACCAAATAATCGATGCAAACAACCAACAAACTATTAATGCATACAAACACTAAACTATTGATGCACACAAACAACAAACTAATGATTTACACAAATACCAAAATATTGATGTACACAAACAACAAACTATTGATGCTCACTAATTACAAACTATTGATGCACACAAACACCTAACTTTTGATGCAGAAAAGCAAAAAAATATTGATCATATATAACATCATTTGTTGTTAAAGATCATGACTCCACTTGAACTTACCGCTAAAAGAGCTCCGAATAGATCCTTTGTGACAAGATCATGACTCCGTCCTGTTCGACCGTCCTCCTCCTCTACGTCCGGGTTAAACAGCTCACTACTCCCACTACTCTTCAGTATATCAACAACCTAAACAATACACAACTAAATGATAAAAACACCTACACATATATCAACTGAGAATAAAGTGTGTCGAGTCCCTTTACGGGATAAGGATTGTTGCCAATGATGGTTTTCTCCGTCTATCCCCGGAGAATAAGTGTTTCTGAAGGATAGACCGAGAAAAGTAAAATCCAAGAACTGGTTGGAACCAAGTCACAGGGATTTAATAGAGAGGTTCTAACTAACTAGGATACTGCAGGGTGACCTAGAATAGAGGTTCTACTAACTAGGATACTACAGGGTGTCCTAGAATAGAGGTTCTACAAACTAGGATACTACAGGGTGACCTAGAATAGAGGTCCTACTAACTAGGATACTACAGGGTGTCCTAGAATAGATGTCCTACTAACTAGGATACTATAAGGTGTCCTGTGATAAAGATACTACTAACCAAAAAGATAAATGGTATCCAAGAATAAAATTGTACCTTATCTAGTGCCTGTGCTATGTACAGGGGCTGGTTCTCCTGTGCCGCCAGGATAATATTCAAAACCTGAATTAGGATTTTTATTAATAAACATTATTAAATTTACTATTGCAAAATATTTTTTCAATTTTCCAATATTTTTTATAAAGATGTGAAATTATAAATGTTTTAGAGAAACACCTTTTTTATGAAGTTCAGGGGTATATAGAAGTGTAGATAGGGGTTTAGGGAGCTGAGGGGGGNTTGTGGGTGATATGTTAGGGGCTGTAAAAAGTTTGTGGAAGGAGAGGGGGGAAGAGTGGGGAAAGTAAATAAAAAATGTTTTTTGTTTACCTTATTTATTGGAGCTTCCATAGCTGCAGGATGTGGCTTCCCGCTACTTCGTCGACGAGCTATTCAACAACAAGGCATCGTTAGAGAGGTATTGTACAATTGTACAAGAAATAAACAAGCTAGACATGTTTTTTACATTTCTTCTAAATTTTTTACCAATAAAGGAATTGAGCCTTTGCTACAAACTCCAATTTTCTAATCCATATAATTTTTCAACTTGAGGGTATCAACCTTTGATATTTTTAACTATGACATTGGGGGGTTGCAAAGTAAGTGTAGACTGTAGACTGTAGAGATTAAAAAATCAGAGATATGGCAAATACTTAACTCCTTAGTAAATAAATATAAATATTTACTAATTCTTAAGTAATTAAGGATGAAATAGTAAAAATTTAATAATTTCAGAGAAAAAAAGAAAAAATACAAGAAAAGGAGGAAAAGATGGAAATGTTTGAGGGAAAGGACAAAAAAGAGAATAAGCATAAAAAAGAAAATACCAGGAAGAAAGAAAGAAAATATCAGAAAAATAAATAAATGTCAAAAACATAAATTAATTACCAGAAAGTACCAGAAAGGTAAGGAGAAAAAAGAGAAAATGAATTTAAAAAATTAGGTAAAATTTGGAAAAGTGAAAAAATACCGGAGAAGATGGATGCATATTGGATACCAAATATCTAGATCAAACTAGATTAATTAAAAAACTATGCACAAAAAACACCGGAAAAAAGCTTTAATTATAAGAGTGTGGAACCTTCATGATTAGGTAGCGCTGTGATCTCTGCACTGGGGCGACGGATAGAATGTCGATTATGTCTGAATGGAGTTGGAGAGGAGACAACATGCTTTATATATAAGATCTGATCTAGCTTCCTAAACAATATTTTTATGCTAAGTATATTCAGGTTTAGATATCTGTTTGTTTGTTTGTTTGATTGTATGTCCGATTATAACTCATGAACCCCTTCGACCGATTTGCTTCAAATTTTGATTGGGGAACTCGGGAGAACTTGGTTTAAGATTCTAAGTGTGGTGGGCCCCCATTTATAGGAAAAAATAGCTAAGATTGTGATTTACGACCAAGCGCGGGTAAATGGGGGCAGCACCCTGTAATGCTGGGTTTCCAAGCTAATTTTTTAAAATAATAAAATAATAAACTTTTATTTTTGATTGTTGAAAGGTAATTTTAGATGACCCCCAAATTAAACGATTTGATACATACATCTGCAATTTATTTAAATGAGAAAACACAGTTGTAGATTATCACTTTTCAGATGAAAAAATAAGAAAACCTCTATAATTTTTTCTAAGGTTCGTTGTGAATCAAGGATGCAATAAATGGTGGTTTTCCTGAAATTACGAGAACAGTCCCTTCAAAAAAACAGCAGTTTTGCTCTGTGTTATGGTTTATAATAATAATATGTAGTTATTCGATGTATAATTCTGTATAACAAGTTTTTTCAACAATTGAACAATGTTAGAAAATATGCTGCGTTCGAAAATGTTTGATTTAATTGATTTTAACATGTAATTTTAGATTTAAATTAACTGATGTCTTTAAAATTTCTATGCAAATTGTGTTATAAACATTATTTGTTGTTTAAGATTAGTTTAAAAAAACACTAATGTTAGAAAAGTAATGCTTACAAAAGTTTTATTTTGTAATATCCTTTGTAAAATATTGGATTACAGAAGATGAGAAACCTGAAGAGGATGAAACCCCTGAAAAGAAAGACAGGGTATCGTTCTGAAAACTAGTTCTAAAACCCGGGTTTCACGAATGGGGTTAGGCAGTTTTAAGAATATTAATATTTTTGTTATGAAATATTATTTTATTCAGTTTGTTTATATTCTCAATTTTTTTTGATTCTCTTAAATCAAAATCTACACAAATGTTTAGACCCCAAGAAGGAAACTCGGGAGTTTTGTTCAACGATACTCTTTTAAATTTCGGGCTCTGAAGTGTACTATAGCGTACAGTGTAAACTCAATTGAAGTGTACGCTAGCGTAAACGTGAACTTAACTGAAGTGTACGCTAGCGTACAGTGTGAACTCAACTGATGTTACATACAGGGTGTCCCACATCAATTTAGACCGCGTCAATGGGTCTAAATTACGATTTAGGGGACAAATCAGAAAATTTCAGAAGAATGAATCATTTTGAAAAATTTAATAAGGCTAATAGAATTTTTTTCTTGCAGAAAATGCTAGATTTTTCGAGTATTATATGTGTATTTTGGCGTTAAAGATTGGAGAAAGTCTAATATGATATGGGACGCTCTGTACATTTCTATTTCCAACTCGGTTTTCACAAAACCAAATGTATAAATATTTATTTAAATATTAATATTTCTTAGATATAAAACAGGTTGCAAACAACGTTATAAAAATGTACTAGTGTTTCTATAGAGTAAAAAGGATCAGTCAAAGGTTTAAAGGGTACTGTTGTGAATCGGACACTGCACAACTAAAAAATGGAGAGTCCCTTGAAATTAAGCCTACAGTCCCTTTAATAAAACAACAATAAAACAAACTTTGTGTTCTGCATTTATGCATGGATACTGTAATGATAACCTTTCCTCTTCCTTCCAAAATATGTTTAAGTCTTTAGCTGAACCGAATAGAACAAAATCATATAAATTAGAACGGGTTTTAAACAAAAATTTAGAAAGCTTTCCGTCCGCAATGTTTCCTAAATTGTGGAATGAAATTGAAATTGACCTTAAAGAAAGTAAAGCTGCAAAAATATTTAAACATTTATTTTAGCTGTACATCGTGTGAATAAATTTTATATAAAAAAAACTGTAATAACTGAAACTTTATTAGCTTATTTCTGTTTCTGTAACTACCATCATTAACACCCTGTATTTTAATTTATCTCTACATAAAAATCCCTCTGATCTCACCCTAACACAGATCACCTGACAATCTCCTTCCTTCCAAGCAACTCCTTACCTATCCAAAAACATATCTTGATATGTGTAACCAATTATATTCAGTATCGTTAATTAACTACGGGCCAACCACTCAAAACAACCAACCCTGGTTAGGCGGGTCCAAACTGCATAGTAAATTGTGATTGCTTATTTGTAATATCTCATGCTTTGTAGTTGAATAAATATATGAAATATATGAATGAAACTCCTTACTAACCTTAGATTTGAGAAGGATACAGGGATAACCTTTGCAGAGAGAGGAACATAATCCCCGGTCTTTCTCTGACAGTTTATAGGTCCCTCCCATTCCTAGAATATGTACTTTACAGTTTAGAGGTCCCTCCCATTCCTAGAATATGTACTTTACATTTTATAGGTCCCTCCTTTTCCTAGAATATGTACTTTACAGTATATAGGTTCCTCCCATTCCTAGAATATATACGTTGCCGTTTATGTGTTTCACCCATTCCTAGAATATGTACTTTACAGTTTATAGGTCCCTCCCATTCCTAGAATATGTACTTTACAGTTTATAGGTCCCTCCCATTCCTAGAATATGTTCTTTACAGTTTATAGGTCCCTCCCATTCCTAGAATATGTACTTTACTGTTTATAGGTCCCTCCCATTCCTAGAATATATACTTTACTGTTTATAGGTCCCTCCCATTCGTAGAATATGTACTTTACAGTTTATAGGTTCCTCCCATTCCTAGAATATGTACTTTACAGTTTATAGGTTCCTCCCATTCCTAGAATATATACGTTGCCGTTTATATGTTTCTCCCATTCCTAGAATATGTATCTTTGTAGTTTTGAACAAAAATCGTTTACATGAACGAGCTTTAACATTACTAAGGACGACATAAAAACGATTTTTTTTAACTCCAAATTTTGGATCAAAATTAAATGTGGTTCATTAATTTGTATGGCTCTGAACTGGGAGCAGGAATATTTCAGCGTGCATTTGATCTCATTCTACCGATAAAACTAGAAAACTTTTAATTTTGTTTAACTTGACATTTAGACCCATCCAACTACAAGGAATCCCCTAAATGTGCTAAAATTTCAAGTTTTTTAAAATCATCCTAAAAGGAAAACTTTGATTTTCTAATCTCTATATCTTTGTAACTCAATGCCGTAGACCTTAGGTATTTCAAACCATGAATTCCACTAGATGAAAAAAATCTAAGTTTGAAATATCAAAGGTTTACACCATCAGGTGGAAAAATATAGGTATTAGAAAATCAGAGTTTGTTACAAAGACTCAATTCCTTTAAATGGACATCGATTATAAATATCATTTTCGGTTTATTGCATCCCAAAATAGCTGAAACTAAATATTTATAGATTTTGTGGCAAAATGAAAAAATTCTTCGTTTAATTTTCAATTACTACTTTTACGATAAGACATTGAGTTAAAATTGGATGATAATGTTTTTGAAAACGCTCACCTTGCCCTCTACAAGTCGTTTATGTAGAACCTGGTCCACCTCTGCAGGAGAATTATCAGAATTCTGAAATAAATAAAATCTATTCTTAAAGTTTAATTAAGGTTTAGATGAAAAATACCCAAAGTAATTAAATAATGTAAAAGGAGAAAATTGTTTCAAAGACTTATTTTTATATGGAAAAGATTACATTTTTAAATGTAAGGAATTGTTTAGTTTTTAGAACAGGAGGGAACATTAAATCAATGTTAGTTAAAGTAAATGTTAGGAATAGGAAGTTTGATTGTTTATTCCAGGAATCCTAGGGGTGTAATAAAAGTCACTCTTTGACAACATTCTTTTTCAAAAATGTATGTTTATAGGTTTTGTGGGTAAATGTTTATCCATAGATTAAAACAATTCAAAAAGAACACTAGATGTCGTCTTTTCCAGATTTAGGTAAATCTTGAAAATTACGAAATCTAGTGTTCTATCTGTTTTGTTATTAATCTATGTGCTTATCGATGTGAAATTTTTAAAATTAAACCAAAATGGTGTTTTTATGATTAAAATACTTTTGATATTTTTTTGGTTGAAAGATTTGTTTTCGGATTTAGTTTGCGTATCTTTTCTATATCCATAACGGCGTATAGTTAAGATGGTATCGGCAGACTAAAACTCACAATATTATCACTTTGATATCTCTAGAACACAACAATATATCTCTATGGTAGGACTAAAACTCACCATGATATCACTTGGTAGGACTAAAACTCACCATGATATCTCTATGGTAAGACTATACCTCAACATGATATCTCTTTGGTAAGACTAAAACTCACAATGATATCTCTATGGTAAGTTTAAAACTCACTATGATATCTCTATGTTAAGACTAAAACTCACAATGATATCTCTATAGTAAGACTAAAACTCAGCATGATATCTCTTTGGTAATACTAAAACTTGCCATAATATCTCTATGGTAAGGTTAAAACTCAACATGATATCTCTACGTTAAGACTAAAACTCACAATGATATCTCAATGGTAAGGTTAAAACTCACTATGGTATCTCTATGGTAAGACTATAACTCACCATAATATATCTCTTTGGTAGGACTAAAATTCACTATGATATCTCTATGGTAAGGTTAAAACTCAACATGATATCTCTATGTTAAGGTTAAAACTCACTATGATTTCACTATGGTAAGACTATAGCTAACCACAATATTTCTCTATGGTAAGGTTAAAACTCACCAAGATATCTGTATGGTAAGGTTAAAACTTACTATGATATCTCTAAAGGTAAGACTATAACTCACAACAATATATCTCTATGGTAAGACTAAAACTCACCATGATATCTCTATGTCCTGTTGTCTGAAGAGTGGAAAGGTTTTTGCCAACTAGTTCCTCTTTAAACCATCCTAGCTCCTTCTCTGCTCTATGATTGACCCAAACCACCTATATATAAAATCAAACAACTAGTAATAAAATCAAACCAACTATAAAATCAAAATAATAATAAAATCAAACTAAAAATAAAAAATCAAACAGTTTTTTCAAAATTATTACAGCTAAAAATTCAAAGTTATTGTAACAAAAGAACGCATAAAATTAAAGGCATAAAATCAGCAATCCAGTTTTAGAATATGTAGTTTTACTGTTTTAAAAGTTTATTTATGGGACATGTTTAATGTTCAACCGATAATGTATATTTTTTAGTTGTTTATTATACAGATCATCCAATATTTTGATCCATTGTGTATAGTTGAGAATCGAAATCGGACCACATTTCGAAAATCCCATGATAAAGTTTACAGGGTAATTCAGGTACAAAATTGAAATAACAAGGTTTGAGAAAGAATGCAACAGGTCAACGATAATTTTGAATTGCCCCGTATTAACATGTTTAAAGTAACGCTATGCAGGCGCAATATATAAGAATACTTTATAGTAAACATTTTGGCTTTTAAGATTTAAGTACTATCATTAATTTTTGCAAAAAATAAACGGGAAGAAAAATAAAAAAATTTTCTCTTCTTTTTTCAGAAATTAATTTAAGAAGAAAAACTAGATCCGCCAGATTATCGTCCAAAGATTTGAAATAAAAAGAAAATCATTTTTATCTTAGAATTAAACTTATAGTGCTCAGAAAGTTAAAATACTGTAAAATGTATGAAGTAATCGTGTGGCATAACTTATTCCTAACGGTACCCTTTTCCGATTCACAACTGTACCCTTTAAACTTGAAACTTGAAAAAATGAAGACAACCCTTTTCCCCGTATTAAGGGCTGGGCGAAAATTAACGGAAAAATCTGTTAACGAAGGGTAAAAACCGTTAATTTTTGAAATCGTTAACGAACGGATTAGTCGTTTCTGAAAGAAAAAATTAACGGTTTCGCTCTTTTTCTGCTAAAATTGCATGAAATTTGCAAAGTAAAGCAAAAATTTTCTATGTATTTTGATGTTTTTAAATTTCGTCTTCAGTCTCCTTATTTACATGATATGATGAAACTACAACCGTTAACCTTACTTTATGTGAGTTAAGAACATTGTTTAGCAAAAAGTTTAAAGGACGTTTTTTAGCATCGGTAATTTATAACAGTTTTAAAACGTTCATTCGTAAGAGTCAATATTTTAATATTCTATGCACAGATTTGAGAAAAAAATTCGTAAATAAAATATGACCATTTAATCAAATATAATGAAAAAGGTAATTTACTTTATATTACTGGTTACCACATTATTTTCCTTCCTCATCCTTACTCAATCAATTTAAATTTATCCAAATCTAAGATTGAAATCAGAAACAACTTTATTGCCCCGGCTAAAAACATTTTGTATTTGTTGCACTTTTTACACTAAAGTTCCCATATGTATGATTACAGGAGCTATTAAGTATGATATCACAGTTTATGATTTTTAAAATTGATTGATGAGATTAATGTTTCAATGGTACTTTTGATCTGTAATCGCCAATAAAAAGAGAAAGGAATTGATTTCTCGTCACAAAATCTGGTTTTCTCATTCCGTTTTCTTTTTATATTAATGGCTAAAACCTTTGATATTTCAAACTTTGACTTGTGTTAGCAGTATTCGGAGCAGTATCAAAAAACAATGGTTTTCGACATCAGGTTGAAAATAATAAAGATTAGATTTTGTGACGTCAGGAATCAGTTCCTATAGTTATTTTCGATACAAACCTTATCTTCCTTGTCTGTGATTTGAACGATATCTCTGGTTTTATCTAGAGCTTTGTAGAGTATCCTTGTAGTCTGTTGTAGCTGGAGCAACCTGACCGGTCCATGGAGTAGCTGAACCAGCTGGTTGATCCAGTACACTTCATATACACTCTCCAGAACGATCTATAGATTAAGATTTGATAAATGAAATTATTACTTTGTCTTGAGCACCTTTTCTAGCAAAAAATCTGGCTTTTAAAGGTTTCTTTACATGCTACTTCTTCCTTCTAACATCATAAAGCTTAACAATTCAGCTGATTGATCTGTTTTCTTTTATTGATTTTAAAATCGAATTTATTGCTTAAGTTATTACAACAAAGGAAAGGAGTCTTTGCCACAAATTTTCTCATCATTATAGCTTTGCAACCCAATGTCATAGACCTCGGATATTTCAAACTATGCAATATTGCATGCATTCTGTCAAATCAAATAATCTAATCTAAGTTTGCCTTGTCAAAGGTTTAAACCATCAGGTTGCAAAGATGAGAGATGAGAAAATCTGAGTTTGTGACAAATACTTAATTTCCCTTGGGCACAATATCGGTTAAATCAATTTTGACGTTTTTTGGATAAATAATAGCCATCAAACATCAAAAGCCATCTATATATATGCTATAGATATATACTGCTTTGTGTCCAGCTTTCTCGTAAAAATATTACATTTGTATTGCTAATCTGTATGCAAGCTTTTGTAAATTAAAAATAATAACAATAAAAATGTTCGCGGATTATCCTCTTTTCATTGGTGAATTTTCAAGTTTTCGAAATCGAAATATTTATTTAAGCTAGAGAGTATAGCTGACATGGACAAAATGATGTCGACATTTTTTAAGAAAAGGTTCTTGGTTTTCCAAAACATGTAGCAATTAACTGCAATAAACATCAGATACAGAAAAAGTCTAAATCAAAATCAGAGATCACAATTTGCAAAAATATATATAATATAAATGTATCTTGTGTATTAATAAACTACAGAAAAGCTCAGAGACTGTTCTGATTATTTCTAATATATTTTACTGTATCACCTACGCATATACTTTGCTTGTCTGTCTGTTTGTTTGTTTGTGTCCAATAAACGTCAAAACGACTGAACGGATCTTATTAAAATCCGAGCACTGTTTGGTTTTGTTTTTTGTTTTACAAATAGGAACAAATGTTTACAATTAAAATAGAAGATGGGCGCGAAGCGCCGTGAAAACCTAGTATATTGAAGAGATGTTCTAGAAAACTTTTCTTTGATATTTTTTTATATTTTCTCTTCAATCTTGAACAGATTTTAATTATATTTTAGAGAAAAAGTAAATCAACCAGGTTTGGTGGTTTTTCTTTATAAAAGAAGGATAAAAATCAGTTTTCTTCAAAACTAATAATTTTGATTCTGATCAGTGCTGTACCTACAAAGGGCGTATATAGACTCCTTACTGGGCCTCTACCCCCAATTTTTCCCCTCATAAAACTAAAGCCCACACATTTAACTAATTTGTTGGGGCCAGGGGGGGAGGGGAAGGAAATGAGTTTTTTTTCCACAAACCCTAACTTTTTAATCCCAATATCTTTGTAACCCGATGTCGTAGACCTTTTTCAAACTATGAATTCTGTTAGATCAAATAGTCTAAGTTTGTAATATCAAACAAATACATCATCAGATATAGGGATTAGAAAACTATAATTTGTGGCAAAACTCAGTTCCCTTGAATATTAGAATTTTAGTTTCTAACGTTGGATTCTCACACTTATTGAATGCATAGTGCATACGTTCTACAAACTTTAAACTATACTAGATTTAACCCAATTACAAATAAATGTATATATATACATATTTTCGAACATATGTGTGAATTACAGAATTTTTTTTAGATTGGATTTATAAATAAATTAATTGATCTAATAAACAAGATTTTGGAGACATATTAATAAAGATACAGATACAGATACAGATACAGATACAGATACAGATAGTAGAGTAAAAGATATTTTCAAAGAGTATGATAATAAAGAAAACGGAGAATTAATGGTGGATAAATTATAAAATTTTTAATTAGAAATTAGATAGAGAAGGATGCAGGAGAATTTTCATAATAAAGGATAATTGAGGAAAAAGAAGAAATAAGGAGAGGAGGCACGCGTGCCAGGAGGGGGACGAGATGGGGAGGGAAGGGGGTTATATCAAACCAGTTACGTGACGTCACGAATCGATTAGGACGGAGAAATAAGTGGAGAGGAAATGGTGGGGAAAAGAAAATGGAAAAAAATGAAGGTGAAAGGACAATGGAAAAACAAAAATTGAAGTAAAAGGAGAATGGAGGAGAAAGAAAATGGAGGAAAAAGTAGAACGGAGGTGAATAGAAAAAAGAGGAAATGGAGTTTCAAAGCTTAAATGGAGGAGAAATGAGAATAGAAGAGAAAGGAGAAGAGGAGAAATGAGAATTGAGTAGAATAGATGAAAATAGACGATGGAAGAAAAATAAAAATGGTGAAAGAAACTGGAGGAAAAGGGACAATGGAGGAGAAAGGAAATTGTATGAGGAAGAAGAGTAAAGGCAAAAAATGGGGGAAAAGGGATGTAACAAATCTAGATGCTACTTCTCTAACGATTACTTGACTCACAGTCTAATGAAATTCTCTCTAACTAAATCTCTAGCCAAAAATCAAGGCTCTGTATACGTCCGTTCTGCTCAATTAACGATATTCAACTAATTTATTTATAAACAGGTAGAATGAACTGACCGGGCTAGCCCGGCTGGGTCAACATACAAAATAATTAAGATACTAATAATTATGAATACAGATAACAAATTAGAATTGCACATCATGGTAGAATACACTTCAGGGAGAATGGAGGTGCAAGGAAAATATTTGAGATGGAATTTCAAAGCTAAAATGGATCACACAATTTTTTTTATAAAAAATCGTGGCTAAATGGATAAAAGTTGTGTTTGAATTTTGAAAAGAAAAATAGGAAAAGATTTGGGAAAAAGTTGGAAATTACTTTTCACTCGAGCCAGAGCAAGAGTACAATATGGCGGAGGTTAAACAGATTTATTTTTACAAAATCTGTTCAAAAGTTGTATCACACAACGATTTAGATAGACTTTAGAAATGTTGGGTTGATTTGAATAAAAACAAAGAACAATTGAGACTTTAAAAGAACTTAACGGATTAAATAAATAGCAAGAAGTGGTAAAATATTCATATCTTAGCATAATTTCAAGTGACATTCCATGCCAAGAAGACAATGCCCGATTCACAAAGGAACCCTTCTTCTCGATTCACACTGGAACCCTTAGTCTAATCAAGTATGAACATCATAATAAGTGCTTGTAAACCTAAAAACAAGGTTTGATGGGTAATGTTGTGAATAGGGCATTGACATCTTTGCATGGAGGGTCACTTATAATTACGCTTACAGTCCTTTTAAAATTGGTATTTAACCTCCCAAAATCCCAAAATGTTGGTTAAAACACTACCTGATTAATTCCTAGATCTACCCACGATATAACAGCAGTATCATAGTGTTCTAACTTTTGTTTCTCCAGTACACCAACTATCACACAGTCTTCAAAATTTCCGGAATTTCGTAAATATCTAGACAAACAGAAGAAAATTGAGAAAAAGTTTGAGCATTGAGGATTGTGCTTATGATAATCTGTAGGTCTAAGGTATTGTATATCTGAGTTTAGGTTCAGGTTAAAGATAATCTGTAGGTGGTCTAAGGTTCATATACCTGAGTTTAGGTTCAGGTTGAATATTATCTCTAGGTGGTCTAAGGTTTAGTATACCTGATTTTAGATGCAGGTTGGATATTAAATCTAGGTCTAAGGTTTAGTATAACTGAGAATAGATTTAGGTTGGTTATAATCTCTAGATCTATGGTCTAGTATACCTGAGTATAGGTTCAGGTTGGTAATTATCTCCAGGTTTGAGGTCCAGTATGATAAGAGTTTGACCTTTCTCCGTATGGGTTGAAATCACAGAATCATGATCACTGCAGACACAAATATGATTGTCAGGTAATTGAAAGTAGAAAATAAATTTTTTTTTTTTTTTTTTTTTTTTGGGGGGGGGGTCTAATAACTTTACAATTTAGAAGGCCATTTTGATTTTGGGTAAAAATTACAATATGTATTCAGAAACTTTTATTCATTTTTCTAATGCCTTGACTGATAAATTTATCTCCCTAAAACTTGTAAATGATAATCCTAGATGAAGAGCAGCTTGAGCTAGAGCATGAAGCAGCTTCTGAGAAGCTCCTGCTGCAAGTATGTCTGGAAGATGCTGCTGCTGCTCTTGTAATCTAGACCGAGCTGTTTCTCCAACACCCACCATCTAAATAGTAATAATAATAATGATAATATTCATAATAATAATAATAATAATATTCATAATAATAATAATAATTATAATATTCATAATAATATTCACAATAATAATGATAATAATTATGTACAACTACGTTAAAAGGAAGTTCAGGGAATTTTACTTTACCAATGATTCACAAGACCAATTTTGCCTATAAAACATCCAGAGCGCAGCGAGGGATATTTTTATACAAAATTGGTCAAGGAAGCCGTGGTTAATAAAATTTTCAATTTCCCAAATGTTGGTTAAAAGGCAGTAAAACAAGCAACTGCGCAGCATACGCAATACGCAGACCCGTTAACTTTATAAATTAATCTTCAAGTTTCTGGTAAAACATATTTTTTGAAAGAAAACATAAATATTCTGATTAGTTGCTTAATTGAGTTAATTGTCCTCTTCATATTCCACAGTTTCATGGATCTAGTTCACTGTGCGAGTTGAAAATGTTTTTTTTCCTTAATTTGATTTTCTGTAAATAGGTTTCCAATGGTTCAATGAATTGATCTCACTTTATTTCATTGTGGATTTAATTTAAATACTGTCTACTTTTCATTATTATTTTTCATGTTGAAAAAAATTCTTTTTAATTTGAGATTTGATAAATCATTTAACGAATATTGTGAAAAGGTGACGCACAAGGAAAATTATCTACACTCTATGTAATTTAAACTTTTTATTCAACTCAAATTCACGTTAGCAGAATCATTCTTCAAATTTTGTTGAATGATTCAACTAATTTGAATGATTTCTTAGGGTGTACCTCAACCTCACACTAAACCTTTTTTCTTATAACAAGAATTCAAACTTTACTAGTTAACAATCAGAAAAGTTTTAAAAGAATTGAGTCTTAACCACAACCTAGAATTTAGTAATATCCATATCTTTGCAGTCTGGTGGTTTAAACAATTCATCCGGTTACATAGTAGAGATTGGAAGCATTTTTTCATGTTACGTGTAATTTATTTCAGTTTAATGTTTCCTTCAACTTAGTTAGATTTGTTCACGACCTTATTCTTTGGGAGTTTAAAAACATACAATCATATATTATATTCCTTGGGAGTTTAATAACATACATACAATCATATATTATATTCCTTGGGAGTTTAATAATATATATACAATCATATGTTATATTCCTTGGGAGTTTAATAACATATACACAATCATATATTATATTCCTTGGGAGTTTAATAACATATATACAATCATATATTATATTCCTTGGGAGTTTAATAACATATATACAATCATATATTATATTCCTTGGGAGTTTAATAACATATATACAATCATATTGTGGCGGCGTAGTGGCGGAAGACGAGACTTCTGAGGAGTTTTGAACCTAAGATCTAGACGCGGCAAGATGAGCAACTTCCGGCCACGTCACCTATCTATCTATTGATATATTTTTACGTTTCTATAAATTTAAGTATATAAATTTAGTAATAAAGTAATTATTTAAACCAGGCGTTTGTCAAACTGAGCGTAGCTAAAATATTCATATCTCATCTTTGAGAAATCTATCATGCCAGAATGTCGAAAAATTTGAAAAAAATCTATTATTTAACCTTAAAACACAAGTTTAAATAAACCTCCTGTATTACACAGGCACAATTTGATGTATTGCGCATGCTCANAGTCAAGTCAAGTCAAGTCAAGTCAAGTCAAGTCTAGCAATGTAAAAAGTCTGTTTTGACGGAGTCCGAGTAAAAATCATACAGAAATATTGGATAGAACTTAAAATATTTTTTTTTATGTAAATATCAGTTTGAAAACCCTGCGTTGCCCAGGGTACTCATAGTTAATCCCGCCGTTTACCCGCGCGCTTGGTGGTAAATTGTTGTTTTAGCTATTTTCCCCTATACAATTGGACCCACTCAACTTAGAATCTGAAAACTAGGCTGAGAATACTCCCGTGGTTCTTCCGAGTTCCCTAATTCACTAATTAAAGCTTGAGGCAAATTGATACAGGGGTTCATGAGTTATGATCGGACATTCGAAAAAACAGACAAACATAGATTACTACTTTATATGTATAGTTTAACTAATAATATAAATATAAAAACATTATTTATTATTATTACAGGAGTAAAGGGAGATTATCTCTAGGAATGTGTCAGCTAGTGCAACCTACATACAGGGCTTATCATACAGTGTGACCAGGGGCGGACTAAACCAATATTTCAAGGGGGGGGGGGCATATTTTTTGGTCCCCCCATTGCCTCCCTTAAAATTAAACAAAAAGCAGTAAATTTCCAATTTATTTTTTATTATCTGCACATTTCGAGATTTACATATAAAAAATTAAACATTTTTATTGAGATCGATTAAGCATAAGTATATAATCGGAATAAAGTAAATAACTTATTAAGTCGCTCTTTAGTTCATAATTTGAATAGGAATTTAAACTGTTAACCAATTAAAACGAATTTTTCCATAATAAACAATATGGAACATTTTTAACATTTTTGCATATGTTGGTGATTTTCTATTCTTTTTAGAGCGCTTACCAATAATTTAATAAATCCTTTTTATCACGTGCATGTTTAATTAATTTTTACAGTGATAACTAGAAAATTCTGAAATAGGAAGACGACTTTTAAACTCAGATTAGGACTTAAACTAGTTCAATAAACATTAGACATAGCAACTGTACAATGTAAATACTAAATATACCTTATTCACATAAATTGTGCTTTGCTAAGTTCTTAGTAAAAGTATTTGCTTTGTAACAACATCAAAACGCTTAAGTATTGATATAATGTCGTCTTTCTATTCCATTGTTTTCTGGTTATTACAGTATGTGAAACACAATATTAAAAGGTATTTTAGTTCAGGTCATTTATTTGTTGTATCTTTCATCCCTTAATGCTTTTATTTCATATCATGAATTTCCTTAGGAGGAGGAGGGACCCCCTCCTCCAGGAGTTTAGAGGGGGCCCGTGGGTCCAGACCCCCCTCTAGTCCACCCCTGAGTGTGCTAAACATGTTGGTTGGTCAAACCTCAACTTAGAATGGTTCGTAACAAATTTTCTACAAGAATCAGAAAACTCAGGAATAGGAGTCTTGACTTTAAATGGCCTAATAAAAACACAACCATTGTGTAGTGTAATCAGACCCATTTTGTTTGATAAGTGATTAAGTTACTGTCGTTCGTTCTGATGCGTTCTGATAAAAACTAGATCAATTCTGAGCGACCATGTTTTTTATTTCTTTTTTAACATTCGATGATTATTCAAAAATTAAATTTTGTAATCTAATAATATGGAACTGATCAAATATTTAAATTACAGAGGAGAAAAAATATCTGATTCTATTTGGTAAAAGACTATTCTAATTCGTTCTGATTCGGTCTGATTCGTCCTGGTTCGGTCTGATTTGGTCTGATTCGTTCTAATTCGGTCTGATTCGTTCTGATTCGTTCTGATTCGTTTTGATTTGGTCTGATTCGTTCTGATTCGGTCTGATTCGTTCTGATTCGTCCTGATTCGTTCTGATTCGATCTGATTCGGTCTGATTCGTTCTAATTCGTCCTGATTCGGTCTTATTCGTCCTGATTCGTTCTGATTCGTTCTGATTCGGTCTGATTCGTTCTGATTCGTCCTGATTCGTCCTGATTCGTTCTGATTCGATCTGATTCGTCCTTATTCGTTCTGATTCGATCTGATTCGGTCTGATTCGATCTGATTCGATCTGATTCGATCTGATTCGTTCTAATTCGTCCTGATTCGGTTTGATTCGTCCTGATTCATTCTGATTCGATCTGATTCGATCTGATTCGGTCTGATTCGTTCTGATTCGTCCTGATTCGTTCTGATTCGATCTGATTCTATCTGATTCGATCTGATTCGGTCTGATTCGTTCTGATTCGTCCTGATTCGTTCTGATTCGATCTGATTCGTCCTGATTCGTTCTGATTCGATCTGATTCGTCCTGATTCGTTCTGATTCGATCTGATTCGATCTGATTCGGTCTGATTCGTTCTGATTCGTCCTGATTCGGTCTGATTCGTTCTGATTCGGTCTAGGGTTTCCAACGTAATAGATTATTCTCTTACGCGTAATTACGTACATAATTTCTACAATGTAATTTCTCGAAATTTCGTAATGATTACGCGTAATAAGCGAAACTATAACTACGCGTAATTACGGCGTAATTTCGCGTAATTTCTACAGCGTAATTTTGCGAAATTTCGTAATAATTACGCGTAATAAGCGAAACTTCAATTTCGCGAAATTTCTACAAAGTAATTTTGCGAAATTTTGCAATAATTAAATCTATGAAATTTTGAAGGTTTAACTTTTAATTTAAATAAAACAACTAACTTACAAGGAAAACAATGTCACGCAAGTTGAATCAGAAATTTCATCCAATACTATGTTGATGTACTAAAAAGTTTGACAAAGGGCCAACAATTTATTTTTTATCAAAAAATACATAATCTATAAATTTTCAATTTTCGACGACTGGTTAATATTTCAACCTACTTTATCAAGTTTACCTTCCTTGTTTGAAAAAAATGTCAATAAAATCGTCAAAATATGTTTGACATGGTTGTAGCGGGCATATCCTTACACATACTTTCCCGCCATAAATATTTTTGAGAATTAATATGTACTTTATTTATTACGGAATTTTTTCGTATTACGTAATAAACGCATAATTACGCGTAATGCTCCTGTGTAAGTGAAAGAAAGTGTTACGTGTAATTACGCGTAATTACGACTGGAAACCCTAATTCGGTCTGATTCGTTCTGTTTCGGTCTGATTCGTTCCAGGATTCGTTATGATGGGTTCTGATTCGTACTTATTCGTTCTGATTCGGTCTAATTCGGTTTGATTCGTTCTGATTCGTTCCTGGATTCGTTCTGATGCGTTCTGATAAACTAGATCAATTCTACGCGACCATGTTTTTACTTTTTTTGTTATTTCTCAATAATTATTCAAAAATTTAATTTTTGTAATCG